GCGTACGCTGCTAGTTGATTGATATGTATGTGTTCTGGTTGTTGTTGTTGCATTGTTAGCTAACTATGCTACTTCTGCAGGTGGAAGGTACGACAAATGCACGCCTAGGCGTGCTATTCAGTGATATTCCTGATACGCATTGGCCAAGCATTCTTTTTATCAAATTCTTCAAAGTTACATCCGCATCATATAGGTATATTGCTTCTGAATCCTGATTTTTAGTTTTGACTAATAAGGTCAAATTCTTAGTGGTGTACTTTCTTCACACATGTTTGATTTATTCTCTTTCACTCATGTCCCTCTACACAATTATAACAATGTGTGCAGCCACAATAAGAGAGTGTTAGAGTTTCTGGATCAACTTTGCTTGTTCTATGAGCGTGAGTATATGCATTTACCTGCTCCAGTTACTGAAAACAAGCAAGTGTTTATTGATAATGTCTTTGAAATGGCAAACATAAACGGATTGCCTTGTAAAGTCTATGAGTCTGCTCTTTGAGTGCTCTCAGATGACAATCTTTCAGTGCTCTCAGATGACAAGATTAAGGCATATGTGTCTAAGGTGTCTCCTCATCTTGACTGTCATTTATCGTATGCTCTCCATAGTTATGCATATGTTTATAAATTTTTAATGTACTCTACAAAGAAAACTATTCTTAACTAGAAGCTACTCTAAATTTCATCTTTCTTTATGCATATTCCATTTAGCTCCATTACTAATAAATTGATAAATGTGTTGGTGGCTCAATTTTTATATAGGCAAGTCAGGGTTGAATCTGGAAGTGGTGTTGTCATTACAAATGGAAGGGTTGGATTAATTTGGCCTCTCCTGCTTGATATGAAAGATAGGGATTTATTAGTATTGCATGTATTTCATATATATATTTTGTGCTTTTCACGTGCAGATATTGTGCATTGTTTTTTAAATTTAATAAATGCCATCTTTCATGAAGTTTTATTATCAATATTCAAACCTCCTTGCATAATAGAGTTTTCACTTTTATTAAAATCTTTATCTTTAATATCTTTTCGTCATAATTTTTTTATTATAAATAATTTTGTCTCCAATGATGAATTTATTTTGTTTGTGTAGGACGGTTGTTGGTTATACAAGTTTATGAAAATATTCTAATACAAGTTTATCAATGATAGGTGGTAAACCTTGTCGAGGGTACTACATTCTTAAGTCATGATTTGCAGCTTCTAGAGTCTCTGGAATTTAAGCAAAGGATAAAGCACATTGTAGACATTACAGAAGAGGTGAATTGGGAGGATGTGGACCCGTACATGTTGACAAGGTTATTTATCTTATCTACTTCCTTTTGAAACAACTTTCGCCGAAGTAATGAAGTATTCATATTGATGCCGTAATTGATCCTCTGAGTTCCTTTGGTCAAACGTTGGCCTTTCATCTTGATCTACTTTCGAAATCCATTCATCCAAGCATGAGGCCTATACTGAATCCAATGGTAATTTTTATCCAATTCTCATCAATGGTTGCCGGAGAGTTTATCTTAGTGGTTACTTCCAATGACAAAAATAAAAGGAATTCTAAAGCGAAATGGATTCAACCAATGGTAATAATAACAATTTATATTTATTTGTATGTGTTATAAAAATTTATATCCTATGTGTTTATTGTGATGTGAAATATTATAATTACTGAATTTGCTAGTATTGTCTTTCTGGAAAGGTGAATTTTGGTTGTAAGGGAATGATCAGATTTGGAATGATCAGACATATGACTACCATTGTTTCTGCTGGTATTGTTGATTCTTGGATGAAGGTGAAGTTTTAGATTATTTGTTCTCATCTTACTTGTGATTTTATTGTTACTGTACATGTTATTTCTTTTACTTCATGATTTTTGTATTTATTCATTTAGTTTCATTATTTAATTTGTAGGTATTCAACGTTCAAGAGTGATTCACTGATCAAGAAATCAACGACACACGAGAGTGTTGGGTATCATTTTTCTGCGAAGCTACGGATATTTGATATAATTTTTAGACAATCAGCTAGATTTTGACGAGTCTTGTGAACTTATAGTTTTAGTGAACTCAAAGTTAGTTTTTGATGAATGTTGTGAACTCATACCTAGTTTTTGCTGAATATTTTTGGATCAAAACAATGCGAATGTGGAATGTTATTAGTTATGAGCAATGATATGTGTTTACTTTGTTGTGATAAATGTTCCTATGATGATACATGTAAATTTCTGATATTTAGAAATATATAGCTGGGTATGAATTAAATGTTAGGAAGACATTTCATATGGGTTGATTAATCCTATATTGAAAATCTTTAATAACGGTTAATGTATAACCGCTATTGAATATTTCAATAACGGTTCTGTAATAACCCTTATTAAATGTCCCAGACTTTTAACATGTGCCGCATCAATATCGGCCTATACCCGTTATTAAAAGCCCAATTGAACCGTTATTAAAAAACCTTCCATAACGGTTCCCGAACCCATATTAAAAGTACTGGACTTTTAATAGGTGCTGCAACAATAACGGTTCTGAACCGTTATTAAAAGTCCATTATAACCGTTATTAAATCCATATTTTCCACTAGTGCAACATGGAGAGCGTCCCTTGACAAGACGGCAGATGGGCTTTGGGGTCCCCGGCTCCGTCATAAGTTAATGTTCCAGGGGGCCGAACGTCCCGCGCAATGTCTACCGCCATAACCTTGTCGGTGAAGGGAGGTGAAAGAGCAATCCTGGGCTGGGCCTGAGCATTCTCCGTCCGGCGATTCAACTCATTTATCTGCCTCTGCATATCCAGGAGCATGGCATCCCGTGGATCAGTCCCAACAGGCGCGGGGGTTACTACTGCCAAGGAGTCTCCTCTTGGTACAACGCCCTGATCGTTCTGGCCAAAGTGCATTCGGGTCCCCGCCGCCATGCCGCTCAGTACGGGGGTATGTTCCCTAGCCGTTCCTCCTCCGCGGGGCATGACCGGCGTGGGGTCCTGAAACGTGTGGTGCTGTGTTCCTCTGAAGGGCCTGGCCTCTGTGATGCCCCCCCTACCTGGAGGGCGGGTGTTCTGGGTTATTCTGGAATGGACCGAACGTCGGGGATTGCTATTCTCGCCCGTGTGTTCGGTGAAAGACTGCATGAGACGGACGGGTGAGAGCGGGGTGCGCTCAGTATTGGCGGTGTACACGTGTTCTTCCTCCCTCTGATCCGCCAGTCGGCGGATAGTATCCGCGATATCTCGCAGTGCATGGGGGTCCCTGCGGAGTTCTTGTGGGATCAGGTCGGTGAGCATCCCGAGGTCCCCTCGGCTCCACAGGCTGGTGGATTGGGCCCCTGCCGCCTGGTTACGGCTCCTCCTGTTGTGAGCCAGTCGTGATGACAGGTCTTGAGAATTGCCTGCGTTGTTACTGTTCATTTTGTTTCCTTTTTGTTGTCTTAGGAATTTTAAATGGAGAGCTTGGAAGAAGAACTTTTTGATCAGTTTCCCATAGACGGCGCCAGTGTTGAAGTTTATTCCCTTCAACCCGCAGGCCCAACACGTACCTGGGGTTTCGAGTGGGTGGAAAGCAAATGAACTTACTAAAACAACGGGGATGGATTAAATGATTGTTTCCTCGAATATAGTGATTACAAGCCGAAGGGCCGAACGTACTGAAAGTAAGCTACGTACTGCTGACGCTATTACAACTCTAGAGTAACGATGTGCGAACCCTTTACAATGAAATAAATGCGGCTATTTATAGTACACCCTGGTGGTTGGGAGCTGACGTGGCCGGCTGTGGGCGACATGATTCCAACCACCAAATCTTCAGCATTAAATGCGCTTCCCGCCAAGATTCTTGGTTTCCCGCCATAATGCGGGGGACGTCCGTCCCCTAAACTGAACTCAATTCTTCGATGGCAACCTGGGCCTTTAAGTATAGCCCACCAGACGTCCATCCCTGGGCCCTTGGGCCTCGAGGCCTGGCTATGCTGGGCTACGTACGTCCCTTGGCTCTTGGACCCTGAGGCCTGGCTATGCTGGGCTACGTGCGTCCCCTGGCTCTTAGACCCTGGGGCCTGGTCATGCTGGGCTACGTACGTCCCCTGGCCCTTGGACCCTGAGGCCTGGCTATGCTGGGCTACGTGCGTCCCCTGGCTCTTAGACCCTGGGGCCTGGTGCTGGACTACGTACGTCCCCTGGGCCTTGAACCTTGAGGCCTGGCTTTGGTGGGCCACGTACGTCCCTTGGCCCTTGGGCTCTAGGGGTTGATGGGCCGGTCCTCGAAGGCCATTAACCCAACACAATGTAATTATTTTTGAATTTGACAATAATTACTCATATTTAGGGAATGCAAATATGACAATCCTAACTTAGAGTTTCAAAATGATTTTACTCATATTTTGAGAACTTTTGTAATTTAATTTTGGTAGCTGTGTCAAATTCCTTTAAGTTAAGACATGATTAATATGTTATTAAAGTCTATTACTCCGTATTAAATAGATGGTTGAGCAAAAGATTCTAAATGCCAACTCTCAAGGCATGGTACCATGCCTTCCTATTTAAACAATGAACTCGTTTTTTATAGTGAAAAGGAAAAGATGTGAGGTATTACATTGTTTGATGCTTGGTACTTATTTTGAAAAAAAAAAAAAGGATGACACCCCATCCCTGAGGCCCCCCCAACCCCGACCGGACGGTACAGAGAATGTAAATTGGACTATAATCCCAATCTGACAGATAGAGAGTACGGCTCTGTCCCCGGTACTTGCAGAGGCCCTATGCATTTTTAACATAGTAAACCCTCATCGCAGTTGTCGGGATTCGAACCCGGGACCTAACCCTTGTGGCACTCCCTTGCTACTAGTTGAGCTACGCCCACCGGTTGGTACTTATTTTGACATACCAAAGTTGGTAGGTAAAATAAATTCGATATCTTATGAGTTTTTCCCTAAAATATTGAAGTATGATTAATAGAAAAATTATGAACAAAGATGTGACTAAAATTATTGTAGATATACTTTTATAATTTTAATTTTATAATCATTCGAATATCGATCTGATGGCAACTGTTAAACCATAGCACAAGCCATTAGGATCAAATTTGGATCAAGTAGATGTAAGAAGTACATAGTACATCAAACATCTTCAGTTTGAAGGGTTTAATATACTTATACAACAGGCAAATAATCACACTAAGGACACACTCCTAAACATGACATATCATACTGAGAAATAAGCTGTCAGAAAATACCCAAATCAGCAGAAGAAAAACAAGACCACTAGAGGTTTCTCCCCCATTTTTAATGCCGATTCAAGTAATAGGAAACAAATCGAATTTGAACAATAAAAAAGCATGAAGCAAATAGTTCCAATCCACAATATCTGATCTACCAAAGGTCTGTAAGTCTGTTACTTCTGGCTCACAGTACCTTTCTTCTTCATAAAGCTTCCAAATTTACTTAGCAAAGGCTTCTTCTTCTTTGGGCTTTGTTGCGTTCCCGGAGAGGCAATCACATTATTGTCATGCTTTTCTATTGATGATTTTAGCCCATTTGGCTGATCATACTTCTTCTCACACACCTCTTCCTTTTGCTCTGATTCCTTTTCCGGTTCAGTCACTCTTTCTGGAAATGAATCTTTCTCCCCAAACTGGAAGCTCTCCTGCCTTTCAAACTCACCTTCTTCTACACAACCTTTATCTTCCTTTTCTTCCCTCACACTCTCTTTCACTTCAAATTCTTCAGTTCCATTAGTATCATCTTTGGCATCACCCCTGGCCGCTTCCTTTTCTTGAACTTCTTCCTTTACTGTAGATCTCTCTTCTGGAACACCATTTTGTTCTACATTTGGCAGGAGCATATCAATATCCTTTTCACTGTCTGTAAGGTCTCCGTTTTCTCCATCTTGTTTTCTAGCCATAGCTTCTTCATGCATTAAGGACAATTCCTCAATCTTCTTCAATGCCATTGCCTCTCGGATTTGAAGCTCCTCATTCTCCTGCAGAATACTTTGCAGTTCGGTTTCTTTCTCCATCAGAGACTCTTTTAGTCTCATGCTCTCGGCCGTAGTGTCCCTGAGAACCTCCCTTAGATAGATGACCTCACGCTCGGTCTCACTCAAGCTTGTTTTCAAATTTGCTTCGCTTTCTCTTGCATTCGAAGCTTCTTCTTGTGCGTGTTTTAATAAGTTTGCAAGTGTATTGATTTCTTTTTCCATTGAAGAACTTGCTTCTTCGGCTTTTGTGATCAAATTACGCTCCTTTTCCTCTTGCTCAGCTTTTAAGATATCGTAGTCTTGCTTAGATTGGTCAACAGTCTTTGTGAGCAAATCAATTTCTTGCTTTGCATCTCCAAGCATATCTTCATACTTCTCATTTGAGTTTTTCAGTGCTATCTTCAGATCTTCAATCCGTGTTTCATACTCTTTAGTCTCTACTTGGCTGGACAACAGCTTCTCATTGGCTTCTCTTGCTTGTGAAGAAACTTCATGCAAAGCTGAAGTCAGATCCTCCACAGTTCTCTTGCTTTGTTCTTCTTCCTCCCTGGAATTCTTCAAGTCCTCAAGAAGTCTATTTTTTTCTTCCAACAGCTTTTCGACACTCTTGGCTGCTAGTTTTTCGTTCATCAAAGCTTGAATTTTCTCATCTCTTATGATGTTTAGCTCGAAGCTGAGGGATTCGACCTTCCTCACAAGCTCAGAAGCCTCTTCTTGGGTTATCTTAAGGTGATATTCTGATTCTTCGAGCTCTCCTTTATTTCTTTCAATGGAGGATTCCAATGACCTAATCTTCTCTTTGAGAGAAGCAATTTCAGATTCTGCCTTGTGGAGCGATTCGTTTCTATCTTCCAATTGCTTCATGGAAGATTCTAGATGTTCCAATGAAGATCTCTCGTTTCTATGCGCTTCTTCAGTCTCGAGCTCTAATGCATTAACTGTCTTCTTCCACTCCTCCACCAAGTTGCACGCATATGATTCGGCGATCTTCGAAGCCTCCAAATCAACTTTGAGTTTCTCTATGATATCCTCTTTCTCCATCAACTCCAATTCGTAATTTTTTGTTCTCTCGAGTTCTTCTCGGAGAGTCTCTATCTCGAGATTCATCTCCGATCTGGAATCAACCATAGATTTAACGCGTGCCAGCTCTGCAGTTAGGGTTTTAATATTTTCAGCGTGAATCTCAGCGACTTTACTGGCTTCGTTTGCCCGGGAGAGAGCCTGGTTTTTGGCATCGATCGTCACGGAGAGCTCGTGTTTGACCAGGTCAAGCTCCTGAGTGATGGATAGAAGAGAAGACGAATCCAACGCTTGTTGATTCCTCACTGCTTCGATCTCTTTCGCCCATTTCTGTTCCTTCTCGTGAGCAGCTTCAATGCCGGCTTGCTCCATCTCTACAGCACGGAACTTGTCGATTTCCGAGTTGTCTTCCGCCCGCTTTTGAGCTATCAAAGCCTCCCTGAGCTTCTCGTTTGCTTCATCTGCTAACTTCTTTGCTTCCTTGAGATCATCAAGAGCTTGAGCTTTGTCCTTCTCTACGGACGCTATCTTCTCCCTGGCTTGCTTGAGATCTTCCTGAGCAAGACTGAGTTCTGTCTGGAGCTCTGATGGCTTCAGTATTCGAGTAGGCTTTTTCTGAGACAAACCAAAATCAAACAAAAACTCAACATTTCAGCTCCGCATATAAGTTTTATCAGCAGGTACAAGGTTTATGATATTCATCAAAATGTTAACCTTTTTGCTGAGAGTTCTTCTGTAACAGATAATGCTGTAAGAGCATTAGACAAGAACATCAACAGTATTCTGAGCAGTTTTTCCAAAAGACTATGTAGCCATTCAACCATATGAAGGCAGGTTTAGTATGATGAGTGCCTGTTTGATAATCAACAGGCTTATGTTCTTCACTCAACACTAAATCTTTATTTTGCATGGGAAATTTTTTTATAACAAAAAATCAAATAAATAACTTTGAAGATATTTTTTGGCTGAATTTGATGGAAAGGATCATATTGGTTTTTAATAAAAAAAATCTTTGTTTTATTAATTATTATTATTTCTTGATTCAGAATTTTGGTCAATCTCATCACCACCAAATGGACTCTTAATGTGTAAAAATTACTGAACCTTGTTGGGAATCAGAAAATAAATCACTACATAAACCTTTGACGCCATACGTCTGAATGTCTGATTTAAAGTTTCGAGTTCAGTTTACACTAAAGATCCTAGATATAATATCCTTGATGTATACGGAGTATACATATCAGTATTAATAATAAAACTTTAAATATTCAGAAACTACTCTATAAATTCAATTGAATGGCAAAACCAATCTAAATATGATAAAAATTAATATTATTCGAGCTAAATTGACTGATGAATAATTTATGAAAACCTTAAAACTACAATTATGAGAGCATTTATTATACTTATTGATAAAGCAGGTTTTGTCGTTTTGACTTCTGGCTTATTTGCCAAAAGAGGATGTTACTGGACACTTATCTTTTTATAAAACTAATCACCAGACATTACCAAGCAGGCCATGATTCTGCTCAAATAGCACATTAGCACAAATTGTAAAATATTAGATTTGAGCTTATTTGAACACTTCACAGAAGATAGACAGACAAGAAACAAGAAAACATCAGCAGGATAAACAGCAGGGCACAGTGAAAGTGACAGCACTCACATCAGGTGGAGTAGCAAGCTTAGTGGAAGGCCTCTCCGCAGAAGAAGCCTTAGGAGCAACCGGTTTCGGAGACTTATCAACTGAAGAGCGCAAGTTCTGCAAAGGCGATTCAGCATCAAATTTGGATGCTCCTCTGCTAACTTTACTCCCACCCCTAGGAGTTGCAGGTGAAACTTTACTCTTTGGGGTTTCTGGCAGTGTAGATCTGAAACCAAAGTTCAAACAACAAAAACCCACAACCAAAATGGCATTTTTAGTACATGTATGTACACACTCTTGCCAGATCCAAATTAAACAAAGAATTGCTGACAAAAAAGCCCAAAGATGGAATCTTTTTACCTACACTCACTACCCAACAACATAATCATGAATTCTGGGCTGTTTTACTCACTAAAAGTACGTTTTGCAGAAATTGGAGCAAATTGCAGTGAAAGAAAAGCATCAGATCCAAAAACAAGAGCTGCCGTTTCTAATAAAGCACACCCATGACCCAACTACAAATGCTTCAATTCTGTACTCAAAGTACAATTTTTTTAGGAAAGGAAATAACAAAAATCAGATCTGGGTTTTTACAGAAAATACTTACTTGGACTTGGTGGACATGGTGGTAATGGGGAGCAGATAGTTTACTGGCTTAGCAGCAGATGGGAGAGGTGGTTCTGAAGAAGGGGAAGTGTAGATGCTTTATTATGCTGAAATCTTGGAAAGAGTTAGGTTGTTTCTGTAGTGGAGCAGGAGGATATGATACAACACAGATTGATGATTAGACCAGCTTTGTTGTATGATATCCAGAGGGTTATAGTTCTATATTCTGGTGGGGGGTTGTATCAATCAAATTCAAATTATGTAATTGTAATAAAATGTTGAAGTCTTGTAGAAGAAAAAAGATTTGTAGGATGTATGGTAGCAGAAAGTAAGCAAGATACAAAGAAGTGATGTGAATGGAGAATTTACAGAGAAATCATTTTTTATTTTGGAGTGAGGATCCTGCTCCCCCTCTCTCTCTCACTCTCTGTTAGCAAAAATACATAGTACGGAATACTACTACAAATTGGCGGCAGTTAATTATAAAACTCGCTGAAAATATGTTAGGTCCAACTGCTAGCAAGTTACTCCTTTCTGGGTGACTTATGAGATGTGAAATGTAAGATTAGTGGTGAAATCAGGAATCTAATACTATCTATTAGACGAGTCTAAAATTAAAAGTGTTTAAAGTTTTACTACATATTAGATGAGCCAAAGATTTATTGAGATGGTTTATACTAGTATATTTTTGTACACAAAAAGGTATCAGGGTTAAAGTGGTTTCGACTATCATTAACTTCAAAGTGGTTCCGACTATCATTAACTTCAATATTGATTCATTCTAATTTCTCTCATACAAGTGTATTTACAATTCGTATTAATATGTTACTCCCTCCGTCCCTCAAAATTGGTCAAGTTTAGTCGATATGAGAATTAATAAACTAAAAACTGTGTAATTGAAATTTCTACAAAGAAGAGAAAATTATCTTGAACCATAAATTTTTTTACTTTAAGAAGAAATTGGCAAAGTTAGTTACACAACAAAAAATTAAAGAAAAATTGACAAAGTTTTAACTAATAGAGGGAGGGAGTACTAAGTTAATATTACTATAATTTGTAATAGTGTAATCATTGTAATGAAACTTGTTGTGTACTTTTTTCTAAATGGATAAGGGTTTGAATCCTTTTTAATAATATCTTTGAAATTTACTTGTATGTTAGCACTTTACAACTTGAAACATGTTTAAAACGAACATAAAAATTTCAATTCAATAAATAATTGTATTGACACTTTTGCGAACACATAATATGAATTGATTTTTGTATAAAGAAAGATAGTTCTCTGACTTCTCTCTACACACTTTTGCAACTTAAAATAGTTATAATTTCACTATTAATACGCCCATATCTGATGCATTTTTATTGACATAATTTTAATGAATTAAAAGTTGTCTCATTAATATTTGTTTCTAAAAAACAAATTTATATCAATTCATAATTTTAATAAATTAAAATTTGTCTCATAAAATTACCCACTCAGACTTAAATAAATTTTACTTGATATCTGTTCAAAGGTGATGAACATTTTGAGAAACATCACAAGCATAATTATTATCCTAAAATGAACATTTAACTAATGATTAATCAGAAATTATTCTTGTAAACACTTTACTGTTATACATACTTTGACACATGTCTGAGAATTTTTTTTTGTGAATAGTATGTTCATGGACAAACATTTTGTTTGTGAATAGACTATTCACAAGAAAAAATACTTTCATGTGTAAAAGTGTGTACAAAACTAAAATGTGTACAATCTTTTTTATGATTAATTAATCTGTTAATGAACAATATGGTACAAAACTAGAGCATTTTTTTTCCGTAAAAAAAGAGGTTCACTAAGGAATGGTGGCATTTTTTTCCTTACAGCCCCCATAAATACTGAAAAAGAAGAGGAAAAATAAAGAATCGAAAATAAAGCAAGGAACCGTGGATCCATTCATCCAAGCCGGGTGCTTTTTCTGCATAAAGACACCAAAAACTGTTAGATTCCGTCACATCACTGTTTTTTCTCCACATGCCCCTCCCCCACCGGGTATTATCGTCTTTTACTGCCTAACTTCTTCATGTCAAAACACACTCCGTTTTAGCATAAAAAATATTAAATCCCTTGGGGTGCACTCAGTCTACTTCAAAGTAGGGGGGGGATATTAAATCCCTTGGGGTGCACTCAGTCTACCAATGACATAATCAAGCTGAGAAACATCGCAGGAGAACAAGACTTGAAAACCGAGCCTTCGGCACTAGGAGCTCTCGGTATTAGGAGGCCCCCGGTACGAAGAGCCTTCGACTTGTTATCTATAGCCGAAGACATTCTCCTCGACAGAATATCCTCTCCACATGCGCCTGAATCACCGTACCAAGTACCACGTCGCATTCAACCACCGCATTCAACCAAGTACCTCAAATGCTGGTGCCACCCCGATTGAGGTGACCATCGGCCGTCGAATGTTTGACACGTGTCCCTGTCTAGAATTTATTGCTGCTATAAATAGCAGCCCATTTCCCCATTGTCAAAGACAACTTGAACGCTCATTCTATATTCGAACTCTTTATCTCTCTTACTCATTTGATCTGACAGTCTGACTTCTCTCTAAGTTATTCTCCGCAATAACCCCTCAGATAAGCTACCCCCGGGTACACGATCCATCAGTACTGCGTTGTTTAACTGCGCAATTATCTTCAAAAATTTATTTGACTGTCTTCCCGATTGAATTTTTATCTGAAATTTGTTATGAGTAAAATAGATTTAATGAAAAAGATGCTCAAAAAATTCCACCGGGAACCGCCCCAAATGGCGACGGCCGGACAGAGCCTCCTATATAAGGGGTGGTTTGCATTTTTTAAGTTAGTTTGAAGGCCTATTTGACTCTTTTACCTGTTTTAATAAAATCGAATGGGACAGGAAGTAATTGTTGATAAAAGATAGGAATAGGGATAAGCTGACTTTGCGTATACCAATTGGATAGATGCATACATCTATGAAATAAGTAGCCTTTTATGGATTCTACAAAAAGATGAGTGCAATTTTAAAAGTCCACATGCCTAGTTTGCTTCTAATTTAAGAACCTATTTGGGTGATCGTTACAACATAGTCCATATAAAATGATGATATGGGGATAATTGTATGCTTAAGCGGAAATGAGGTGAATTTTGAAGTTTTTCTCAATTGTTAAATCAATCTTTTTCTTTGGGCATCCCAGTGATAAATTGATAATGTCATTTTCGGTTCAATTTCTATCCATTTTCATATTGGAAGAATGAGATTACTAAACTAATACTCCCTCCGTCCCGCTAACAATGGAACAAGAGGGAGTGACATGCAAATCAATAAAAAATGGTTTATGTGGTTGATGGATAGTCTACCCGGGGGTATGTATCCGAAGGGTTATTGCTGAGAATAACTTAGAGAGAAGTCAGAGCACAAGTGAGTAAAAGTAGAGAGAGAGTGTATTCAGTATGAATGCCGTTTTCAGCGTGGTTACAAATGGGGAAATGGGGTGCTATTTATAGTAGCAATAAATGCCGGGCAGGGACACGTGTCAAGCGCTTATTGGCCGAGGGGTCACCTCAACTGGTTGGCGCTGGCAGCCGCATGTGGCCGCATTTAATGCGGCTGTTAGATGGGACGTCTGTGCGGGGTACGGTGATCTGTACGCATGTGAGGCGGATATCCTGTCGAGTGAGATGCCTTCGGCTATAGAGCAGTAGCCGAGGGCTCTTCCAACCGAGGGCACCTTGGTGCCGAGGGCTCACAGTACCGAGGGCTACTGTTTTCGCCGTTTTTTCCCAGTTTCTTAATTTGCTCGAGAAACCCGTTCTGTGAGAATTTGGAGCCTTCGGCCAGGGGGCCGAAGGCACCCCGGGCGCGTTGTGCGGGCTGCTTGGTACTCTGGGCGCTGTGATTTGGGCCTGTTGGGCCTGTTGGGCCTTCGCTGGAGTAGTAGGAGTCTGTGGACCGGGGGTTCTCGGGCCATATACTCCATCAGGAGTCCCTCACTCCTTTTGCCGAAAGGTACTTGAGGGAAAAGGAGTAATTTGTGCTTGCCCTTTGATGTTGTCCCGTCGTGATCTCTGAAGTTGGTGAGGAGTTGTTGCTTTTATGTCCCTGCCGAAGGCAGTCCCTCAGTTACCCACATGTCGGGACTTGAGGGCTTGCTTTGTTGTTTGTTGGAATTTCACAAATTTTGTAATTTAATGATTTTCCCGAGGGGGTCCTCCAGTTCCCCACTCCTTGGGCACTTGTAAAGTGGTGAAAAGGAGTAAAGTAGTTACGTTGCTGTTGTGGGCCGAATGCTGACGCTTTTCGTTTCATTTTGGGGGGATGCCTCGTTAAAAACCTCATTAGGAAAAACCCTTTGGGAAAAAATCCTAATGAGGGAAAAAGAGTGCACCGAATTCCCCCAATGATGAATCGAAAATGTCAAACCTTGGTAAAAAAATGGAGAATGACGGGAATGCCGAAGGCTCTCTCTTCTGAGGGCTCCTGTGTTGATTAGCCGAAGGCTTGCTGTTGATGTCCTGGTGGCGTCGAAGGGGAGCCCCTCGATCCAGGGATCGAGGTCCTGCCAGATGGGGGCAGCAGTGAAGTTGTTACCGGGGGGGGGGGGGGGGGGGTCCACTGTTTGTTGATTAGTTGGTGATGAAGATACCCGAGGGCTCCCATTACCTGGGTCATCCGTCAATGAGGCAACTCCCCGAGGGCTACCCGGTTTTGTAGTGCTGAGGGAAAATCCCCGAGGGGTGCCCTGATATGAAGTCCTGGGTTTCTGAAGGAGTGATCCCGAGGGCGTCTGTTATGTGCTGTGTGGGGCGCAACCCGGGGGCACTTCTGAGTGAGTGTACCCGGAGGCTATCCTTGATGAAGTGGAGTGAAGTAGAAAACCCGGGGGCTTCCAGAATATAGTCGTTGGAAACATAGCCGTTGGAATATGTAACGACAGGCTATAGCCGTTGGGGGGGGGGGGGTGGCACACGTGGCGTGTGATGGCTGGTCGTTCGCGGGCGGCGTCACCGGTTGGGTGAAACGGCGGTGTGTAATGATGGCGGTCCGTCCGGAGGCCCGGTTTCCAGGCCCAAGCCCAGATTCCATCGCCTATAAATATCCCAAGGCCAGGCATTCCTCCGTGTGCGAAAACCTTGTTAGCGAAGCTCTGCCAATTTTTCTAGAGAGAGAAACAGCAGCCCTCGGTTGAATCCTCCGTTCTTAAGGTCAGTTCTCCCCTTGCCCTTCAGCTCTTAGCTACCTGTATTGTGCCCTTAGGCTAGGAGATAGGATATTCTAGGAAACCTTAGTTTTCCCGAGCCTTCGAACTAGTGAGCAGATGTCATCACAGAGCGACTCCCAGGATATCTCGGGGGAGCCTTCGGTAGAGATGGAGACATGCTCAGATGTGGAGTCTTCGAGCGTGGAGTCCTCGGCAGGTGGTGATGCCGCAGTGGCCATGGAAGTGGAGAAGGACCTCCAGGCCGAAGTCGAAGCCGAGGGCTTCGAGCAAGAAAATGAG